ATTATTTTGAAAACTATTGACTTTCGGGACACAATTTAAATTTGAAAGTTTTATGATTTTTATCGCTTTACAACATGGCATCTTCAAATTTCCAATCCGACGTTTCGTGATCCAGCTATCATCATCAACTTCATTTTTTCAAATACGGACCTAGATTTTCTTATGTCATTTTTAGAAAGCGCCCTTTATTCTTTTTCCAACGATATACCTCTTAAGTATGATTGGCCGACGTTTCTGCTGGAAAAAGTGATTTTTACCAGAATTTTACCTTGATTAGGCCCTGGAATTCGTTATTTGTAACAAAGACGGTCTAACAAGTACTTTTTTCCGTTATTATTTAGAACAAAATTTACAGAATAATTTTGTATGAATACTTGAAATTATCTAATTATGAACATATATAAAATAATCACCTAGAAACTAATTACGTACATATTTTCTAATTTCACAAATTCAGGTTAACGTCACTGATATTATTGAATATAAATGAATTTCATCAAAGAATGCCTTGAAAAAAATTAAATTGACAGTTGTGCAACCTGTCAAACATTTCTTCATTATTTATTCATTTTATAATAATTGTTAAATGATAAGAGTGTACAGGGTGTCCAAATTTGGATGGTTTTAATAGGAAACGTCAATTTCTGAGCGAGATACAAAAAAATTAACCCCCCACTCCGAGGCTCAAATTTCTTAAAATTTTGATTGGTGCAAACCCGATTTTGAGCAATACTGTGAAATATGCATAACTTTTTTGTTTATAAAAATAACTGATTTCCGTAAAAACTTCCTAAAGGCACTTTTTCAAGCAGAATTCAGTGACGTCATTTTTTTTCTATTGGGCCTCGATTTCAAGATATTGACCAAAATCCGATTTTTTTATTAGAGATTAGAGAAAAACCCATCGAAATTTGTATAATTGAAATCAGCAAAAGCAGAGCTTCTAAAGAGCTATTAATATACAGGGTGATTCATGGTCGATGGTAGGTTAGACGTTTATGAAAAACGGAATGTTGGATATTTTTGAAAATTTGCATGCCCAAGTAATTGCTCCTGATCTATCATTTTAAAATAATTTCAACGATGCGACGTTGCCGCTTATACCAAAAAGTAATATGAACTTTGAAATTTTAAATGAGACACCCTGTATATTGTTGTATTTTTCGCTCCGCTAATACTTTTTGATCATTTTTGTATAATACTGTCCTATACCTATCTCTAGTGATTTTCGACTTATTAAATAATTTTTTTATTTTTTCTTCAAAACATAGCTATAGTTAAATTTGTATTACTACGTCCCTGAGATTCGTAGAAAGTTTAAATTTTGGAGATAACTTAGGGAGGTCCTGCATATTACTTTTGAGCAAGAAAATTTGTTCTACATTATACAGGGTTGGTCAAAATTAGTAATTGTGCTGCCAGGTACAAAAAAGATGGAAAGTGCACTTTTTTAAATAGAACACCCTGTATATTATGAAATATCATGAAAGGCAATTAAAATCCCTTACAAATGATGTATCATATTCCTATACCTAAATAGTAAGGTTTCGGAAATACAGGCAAGTTTCTGTTAGAATTGGATTATTTTGGGATATTTGTCTAATGGCATTTCCAATTGGTAGATTTAATTCACATTAAGTATATTTTCATCTCTTTCTTTCAGCCTCTTGTAGAAACAGATAGAAATACTTTTTTTTTACACTCATTGTACCAACCCGAATCGTCATTAAATAGCTATGTCACGATGAAACATATTAGGTAATTCAAACGATACGAACCACATGATTGGCAGGTGATTGAAACCATGGTTATTATCTGGGATTAAAAACAAATGCATAAGATGGCCCACTTTCTACAATGTGTGATATATAAAAATATTGTCATTGTTTTGTTTTTGTCTCTTTCCTACTCACAGTGTTTTTGACAGTTCAATCCAATGACATCATAAAAGTCTTAGGTATTATAGGCATCTATGGAAGTGGGCCATACATTTTACCATGACTATTTTCCTCCTGTTAATTTTGACCAATCAGAAGTGATAATTTTGGTATCAAAAATAATTAGGCCTGTTCGCAAAGTGATCACAAACCAGTCACAGCGAAGTTCATTGGTTGGAAACAGTCAGAAAACTAGTTTTAACCAATGAAATTCGCTCTGACTGGTTTGTAATTTCTGTGCGAACAGGCCTATTATTATTTAAAAAAAATTGCCTGCCATCAGCTGTCAGCAAGTTTATTTGGTTTTTCCCACAGCAAAACTTTACAAAATGTCAAAAAGAAGAAATCTGCAAAAAAATTGTAGCAAGAATATGCAAAAAGTTCAACGAAATGTACCCTGATTTACGACCAATGAATGAAAGAAAATTTGTTCGAACACAGGTAGTTATTTGTATACCAAGGCCGCGAAATGCCTTTTTAGCGTACGTAGAGAAAAGTTACCGCCGAGGCAAGCGGCCGAGGAAAGATACTCTCAAGTACGCTAAAAAGTTTCGCGGTCATGGTATACACACTATTTTTTGTGTAACTATAAAAATTATGTAAAGTTGCAGAAAAACTGTATAAATTTGACAAGGATTTGACCCATTTTGCACGTCAGGTGTGGCGGCCGCGAAATTGAATTTTGCGGACGGTTGCATAAAAAATAACTTTATACAATTTGGTTCAAAACTTAAGGATGAACCAAGCCTGTAACGTCTGATGAAGAAACATCGTGAATGTTTCAGCCTACTTTCACGCATATCCCCAAGCTTCCATCCCAAGTGCAGCAGGTGATTTAGGCCTGAGCTATTATTATGAACAGAAAATTTTTAACGATCATAATATGCATCCCTTTAAATTCACAAAAGTTCAACAGCTGAAACCGGATGATTACCAACGTCAAATTCCATATTGAGAAACACTTCTGACACACACTTATGAGTATCTAAACTTTCTAAAAAAAAATTAATATGGACCGATGAAGCTAAATTTTCTAGAGAAGGTATTTTTGATAGGAGAAATCAACACTTTTGGGCTAATCAAAATCCACATGCGGTCAAGGAAAAAAAAAAGATCCCAAACCCCCAGTTGCAACAAAATAGGTTGTGACAGTATTTTTTCTACTACTTCACGTAAAATACTCACTTTATGCACTGTTGCGAAGACGTTAAATTTCATTTCACACACTAGTGCGAAAAGTAATGTCAATGACAGATGTCGACAGTCAATTTAGTATTTTTTTGTCTAAATTTATTTTTCTCACAAGTGTGTACAGTACCTTTTTTTACTCATGTGATTATCGCACGTCACATTCGTGAAAAATAGTTCACTTAATACACTTGTTACTGGCTATTTAATAAGACATAATTTTTAAATACCTAATCAAATTCTTGCCTGTATTTCCGAAACCTTACTATTTAGGTATAGGAACATGATGCATCACTTGTAAATGATTTTAATTGCCTTTCATAATATTACATAATATACAGGGTGTTCTATTTGAAAAAGTACACTTTTCATCTTTTTTGTACCTGGCAGCACAATTACTAATTTTAACCAACCCTGTATAATGTAGAACAAATTTTCTTGCTCAAAAGTAATATGCAGGACATCCCTAAGTTATCTCCAAAATTTAAACTTTCTACAAATCTCAGGGACGTAGTAATACAAATGTAACTAGAGCTATGTTTTGAAGAAAAAATGAAGAAATTAATTAATAAGTCGAAAATCACTAGAGATAATAGGCATAGGACAGTAGTATACAAAAATGATCAGAAAGTAATAGCGAAGCGAAAAATGCAATAATATACATTGTGTCTCATTTAAAATTTCAAAGTTCATATTACTTTTTGGTATAAGCGGCAACGTCGCATCGTTGGAATTATTTTAGAATGATAGATCAGGAGCAATTACTTGGGCATGCAAATTTTCAAAAATATCCAACATTCCGTTTTCCATAAACGTCTAACCTACCATCGACCATCAATCACCCTGTAGATAGAAAGCTGAAATTTTCAGCGATTTTTATTATTCCAGCAAAGAACTACAATCCCTGAAAATTTCAGTTCATTTGGAATTACAGTTTCTGAAATAAAATCGTGTTAATCAATTTGGGGTAAATTATCAAATTTTCAATTTTTCTGAGTGCCTTTTTTCATAGATTTTGGCTTCAAATTTCAGAATAATTTAGTGTATGGAGTTTGGGGGGTCCCCATTGATCATTTAGACACAAAATCTCAACATAATAGTTATTTATAAGTGTTAAAAGTGACATTTTATTTTGTGAAAAGGAAAGTGTGGGACCCGACGCCGAAGGCGGAGTGTTTCATCCTTTTGAACAAAATAAAATCACTTTTAGCACAAATATCATACACTATTTTTTCTACAAACGCACTAAAAGTGATTACTTTTAGCACTTAGTGCTAAAAGTAATCACTTTTAACACCAGTGTCATAAAATTGCATTTTAGACACTGACAGCATCCGTTAAAAATGACACTTTTAGTGACGTTTGTAGGAAAAAAAAATTTGAAATTTTATCATTTTAGTACCTACTAAGGTAGTTACAGGGGCTACCTTATGATTTGGATTTTTGAAAACTCTGAAAAATCATAACTTTTTTCTATTATAGATAGCTGAAATTCACAGCAATGCTTATTCCAATAGAGCACTACAATCCCTGAAAATTTCAGCTCATTTGGACTTATAGTTCCTGAGATAAAATCATGTTAAGCAATTTGGGGTAATTTATCAATTTTTCTGAGTGCCTTTTTTCATATATTTCGGCTTCAAATAACAGAATAATTTAGTGTATGGAGCTTGGGGGTCCCAATGATCCTTTAAATATACATCTCAACATAAAGAATTCCATATTTTATCATTTTAGTATAGTACTTCATACAATGGTACTACATTTTTATGCACCATCATAGGTACATTTTAATATTTTCCTGGAAAACTAAAATTTCAAACTTTTCCAATAAAAAATAACAAAATATGAAATTATTAAAAACTATAACTTTCCAGTCACCAAACACCAATATCAAAATCTACAAAATCATCCGTTGCAATGACCAAACCTACTACCCAGTAACCATAAAAGATGTCTCACTAGAAATTCAAAACGGTTACGTCAACGTTTCTGGATCTTTGACCACAGACTCCAATATAACTGGTCCAGTGCAGGCTGCTCTAACTGTAAAACGGTACATCGATTATATAGATATATGGACTATAATACCTTGTTTCGATAATATTGGTTCATGCACCTACAATGATCTTTGTTATTGGGGCAAACCTCAAAACGAAACTTGTCCGCAACGATTTTTGGAGAACAATGTTCCTTGTAGCAGAGCTGGGCAAAGCCCTCAGTAAAAGGGCTTGAAGCACTAAGCCCTAAGCCCTCTATCAAAGTGCTTCAATTTCAAGCACAAATTCCTTTTTATTTTTAAAAGTGCTTCACAAGCACAAAGCCCTCAAAGTGCTTTGGGCTTGACAAGCACAAAGCCCTCAAAGTGATTTGAAAAGTGCTTGAAGCACATCAAAAGTGCTTGAGGTGCCTTGAAAAGGGCTTCAAGCTCTTTAAATGTACTTGAAGCTCTTTAAATGTGCCTAAAGCACTTTGAATTTGTAATAAAATTCTCAAAGTAGCATAAGCTACCGCGTAAACTCATCACACAGAATTGGTATAGTAGAGACGAACTTTACATTTCACAGAGTAGCAGTAGTATGTTTTTTTTTGAGATGTAGTTCTGGGGTAGGTACTTGGGGTACTACATGGTACTTCAGTTTTAAGGTTTTCAAAATGTTCAATGGGGAAAAGTGGAAAAAATCCAGTGATAAAGTTAAATATAAATTAATTATTTATTTTAATAATAAGTTCATTCATTTTTTTTTTAAATTCCGTTCTAAGCTCGAACCCAAAACCTCCATTGTTAAGAGAGAAAAGACATAAGACGGTTCAAGTTCAAATAAAAGAAAAAAAAATTAAGGGACAAAACACGATCGAAAATTTTTAAGTGGGAGGTTGAATGATGGTCAATTCAAATTCCTTTCAAAGTGCTTCAAGCCCTTTTAAAGTGCTTCAAGCCCTTTTAAAGTGCTTCAAGCCCTTTCAAAGTGCTTCAAGCTCCCAAAAGTGCTTCAAGCCCTCTTAAAGTAATTGAAGCTCATTGAAAGGGCTTGAATTACTTTTTTCAATTACAAATTACCAAGCACTTTTCTAAAGTAATTGACTTTGCAAGCCCCAATTACAAATCTATAAAAGGGCTTGAAGCACAGGGCTTTCAAGCCCTCAAAGTGCTTCAAGCACTTTCGCAAGCACAAAGCACTCAAGCCCTGCCCAGCTCTGCCTTGTAGATGCCCTATATTAGAGGTAATTGTATATGTTTATTGTTATTGAATATTAATAAACAATTTTCTTCTAGGGTACTTATGTAATGAATCCAGACTTATTCAAAGTACCAATAAATGGTGTTTCAACACCAGAAACAGGTACTTATTATGTTAAGGCATTGATTACAAGTGGTAAGGAACTTATGAGTTGTTATGAATTCTATTTAGATTATAATGATAATCAATTTAAACCAGTAGAATATTCAGTTAATTTAGTATAAGTAAAGTAGCAATAAATTCTCTTTATTAAAAAAAGTTATTATTCCTTCAAAAACTTCTCAAGTTTCTTCTGAGTTTCCTTCTGTTTAATTTCCAGCTCGATTTTGGCCAGTTCCAAAGGGGATAAATTCAAACAAAAGGGCAAACTATTTTCAGCTACTTTTGATAGCAGACAAGTATTTCTCCTACGCCTTAAGACAATAATAATTATATATTTCATATAAAAATTATTTGAGTAAATACCTGATACTTTCCTCAGAAGAAAATCTTTTGTCGTACGATTCAAGCTGAAACAATTCCTTGTTGATTAACATAGAAAGTCGTCGTTGAGTGTTTGTTTTCAAATTGGGATTTTCACCGGGGGCTAGAGGCATTATTGGAGGTGGCTTTAAAAAATACTTATATGAGACCCTTTATAGAAACATTTTAATTGTTACCTTAATTCTTGGCGTCTTTGGGGTGGGTAAAGGTATTTTGTATCTCACCATGCAAGCTGGGCAAGTGGTTTGTTTCAAATGGACTTTTACGTTTGCGCTAGATGGTTTTCTATTTAAAAATTTATGTTTAGTCGAAAAATAGGTATTAATAGTTTGCTTACCTTATTTTGGTAAACATCATTGCCGGACTGTCTGAATTATTATTCAAATTATCATTTATTTCTAAAGGATTTGTTCTACTGTTCATTGGATTTTCTATATAATTTACAACAAAAGATGAATAATATTGTCTTTTTTTTAATGACGTTTGATTATGTTTAAAAAATTTACGAAAAGTGCTAATGCGATTATTGTTTTGACTGTTCCAATTACAAAATAAACTGCACCTTGAAATTATGAAAAACAAACTCTTGAAAATAAGTATGTAATACAAAACTTAAAAATACCTGGATCAATGTCTGGTCTTTTAGGTTTTCTTGCTGTATTAGTTTCTTTATGTTTTACAAGATCTGAGGATTTTCTTGGCGTTTTGTCCATTTCTTGAATCTTTTTGACTGAAATTTTGAATGTTTCAAATGGAAAATTATTGATGAAAATTCTGCTAAAATTTTTACCTTTTTCCGCAATTCTATTTTTGGACAATTTTCTATAAAGTTTCCCAGTAAAAAGCGGTTTTTTGTTAGTTTCCTCAATAATCTTTATCTGAGTCCTGGCAGGTAGCTGAAGTACATTTTGCCGCAATTGCCTGACCAAAGACTCCAAATTGCCAGTGAGCGTTCTAAGTTCCAGCTGAATAGATTTTACGCGAAATGGGGCAGTTAAAATGAACGATTCGCAACTAGAAATTTTACATTATTACATTTTTTTCCATAGTGACATTGCCTGGTACTTACCTATTAATCAAAGGTGAGTTTGTTAAAATATCCAAAAAGTTTATGATTTTCTTTTTGGTAAACAAACTTTTCAAGCAACCAATATCGTTGGCCATTTCAAAAATTTCAAAACTCTTTTCCGGATTTGTTTGCCTTAAGGCATTTAAGACAGTGTTGATCAGCTCTCTAACTATTTCATTGAGCAAAAGCCTTGTAGCCAACCGTCCATCGTTGATTAAATTTTTAGGCTCGTTTTGCCTGCCAAATTCTAAAGTTTCAATAGTATAAACAGGCAACATGCTCGTCATTTTTTGTTCCAAATGTATGTGTTTCCTTTTGGAACGTTCCAGCAATCGTTCCAGAGGCGAATGGATTTTGCACATGAAAGCCTCTTTGCGTTTGGGCGGCGTCAGACTTTCGGTTCTGTGGGCGGATATCAGGTGGAGGCATAGGATTTTTTCGATGTCGATTTCGTCGTTGGTGAAAAGCATGTTATGGATTTCTTCCGAATCGATTTTTGAGGCTTCTGGACTGGAGTCTCCGCTGGGCGTAGCGTCATTGGACGGAATGAAGTATTTACTTAGGACCTAAAGAAAAAAAGGATAATTGTGGTAATAGGTTGGGACATTACACAATGTTCAAAATTTCACTCATTTTCAAGTCAGTTCAATAGTTCTAGTACCCTATCTAAGTCTTCTATAAATCCTGAAAATTTCAACATTGTATCCTGTATCTTAAATAGGTTCCAAGATTTTAAAGTCTAAAGTCTGAACAAATCAAGATTTTTCAAAATTCTATACCTGATAATCTTCGACCCTCTATAACTTTTTGAAAAAATATCGTAAATTGCTCAAACTTTCAGAGTTAAATTACAGTGAGTAGAATTGTTTTCTATTACCGGCTCTTGTTATAGATTTCCTACAAGAGCCGGGAATAATAAAATATGGCTTAGAGACAATACAAATAATCAAAGACGAAGAAAATTGAGATTCTAAAAAAGAAAACTGTCTGTCTATGTTGAGAGGCAGTAGATTTTAAGAAGAAATCACTTGAGAACATCAGAAGAAACTTTTGCTGTGAAATTAGGTAAATACATTATGCGACAAACATTTTCAATGAAAATAACTACATGGAAATTACATTTTTGCCTCAGAAGTTGACTATTGGAATTACCTCATCGGTACTACTACGTCCGTAAACGTTACTACTCTTCGAATACTTCAATTTGAAAACTTGCTTTTCATTTTGCAACATCCTCAGAGCCGTTCTTTTCTCCTTTTCCAAATAGTTGAGTTCCGCATTGAGATTGTTTTCTTCAGCTCGGTTTTTCGCTTGGGCCACCGACAGTCTGCTGTTTCTTTCCAGAGATTTTCTACTACTAAGCATTTTTGATGATGAAAACGATATGACAATGAATGACAATTATTGCTGGTAGCAATAGGGAACCACGCATGAAAAATTCGTGAAGGGTACCGAAATGGTACCGCGCGCGTTTTTAAAAAGTACCTGTTGGGTTGGTGAAGTCATGGCAACGCAATGCAACCAAACCGCGGTTCTTTGAAAATCAACCACGGACGTGGTTCTACACGGGGCACCGCACACATTTTCAGTCGATGGTCGCGTATAGGTTAAGTTTAAAGCGTGTGTGTATGAACTTTCTGTGTATGTGAATTTGTGTATTGAATTGTGTATACGGACTTGAGAAGAATTTCAATATGAAAACTTTGGTGGATTGTTTTTTGGATATTCGTTTGGGTTTGTGGTAAGTTTACTGATTTTTGATTAAATAATTCAAGTTGATTAACAATTCATTAAACATTTTAAACCAATGCTCAATTCCTATTGGTTGTTAAATTTTGAAAGTAACGACAATGATGTTTTTTTACATATCTGCTAGTTCTTTGATTCGTGAATATTTCAATGGTTTGTTTAAATTTTTGTTAGGGATGGAAAGCTGAAATTTTCAGCAATTCTTATCCCAGTAGAGAACTACAATCCCTAAAAATTTCAGCTCATTTGAACTTATAGGTCCAGAAATAAAATCGTGTTAAGCAATTTGGGGTGATTTATCAATTATTCAATTTTTCTGAGTGCCTTTTTTCATAGATTTCGGGTTCAAATCTGAGAATAATTTAGTTTATGGAGTTTGGGGTATGTTGATTGACCATTAGGATACAAAATCTGGACAAAAAAAAAATTGAAATTTCATCGTTTTAGTAAGAAGGTACCTACCTTATGATTTAGATTTTGGAAAACTTTGAAAGGTCATAACTTTTTTTCTTTTAAAGATGAAAAGCTGAAATTTTCAGCGATTCTTATCTCAGTAGAGGACTACAATCCCTGAAAATTTCAGCTCATTTGCACTTATAGTTCCAGAGATAAAGTCGTGTTAAGCAATTTGGGGTGATTTATCAATTACTCAATGTTTCTGAGTGCCTTTTTTCATAGATTTCGGGTTCAAATCTGAGAATAATTTAGTTTATGGAGTTTGGGGTATGTTGATTGACCATTAGGATACAAAATCTCGACAAAAAAAAAATTGAAATTTCATCGTTTTAGTAAGAAGGTACCTACCTTATGATTTAGATTTTGGCAAACTTTGAAAGGTCATAACTTTTTTTCTTTTAAAGATGAAAAGCTGAAATTTTCAGCGATTCTTATCTCAGTAGAGGACTACAATCCCTGAAAATTTCAGCTCATTTGCACTTATAGTTCCGGAGATAAAATCGTGTTAAGCAATTTGGGGTGATTTATCAATTACTCAATTTTTCTGAGTGCCTTTTTTCATAGATTTCGGGTTCAAATCTGAGAATAATTTAGTTTATGGAGTTTGGGGTATGTTGATTGACCATTAGGATACAAAATCTCGACAAGAAAAAAAATTGAAATTTCATCGTTTTAGTAAGAAGGTACCTACCTTATGATTTAGATTTTGGAAAACTTTGAAAGGTCATAACTTTTTTTCTTTTAAAGATGAAAAGCTGAAATTTGTAGCGATTCTTATTTCAGTAGAGGACTACAATCCCTGAAAATTTCAGGTCATTTGCACTTATAGTTCCAGAGATAAAATCGTGTTAAGCAATTTGGGGTGATTTATCAATTTCTCAATTTTTCTGAGTGCCTTTTTTCATAGATTTCGGGTTTAAATCTGAGAATAATTTAGTTTATGGAGTTTGGGGTATGTTGATTGACCATTTAGGATACAAAATCTCGACAAAAAAAAAATTGAAATTTCATCGTTTCAGTAAGAAGGTACCTACCTTATGATTTAGATTTTGGAAAACTTTGAAAGGTCATAACTTTTTTTCTTACAGAGATAAATAGCTGAAATTTTCAGCGATTCTTATCTCAGTAGAGGACTAAAATCCCTGAAAATTTCAGCTCATTTGCACTTATAGTTCCTGAGATAAAATCGTGTTAAGCAATTTGGGGTGATTTATCAATTTCTCAATTTTTCTGAGTGCCTTTTTTCATAGATTTCGGGTTCAAATCTGAGAATAATTTAGTTTATGGAGTTTGGGGTATGTTGATTGACCATTAGGATACAAAATCTGGACAAAAAAAAAATTGAAATTTCATCGTTTTAGTAAGAAGGTACCTACCTTATGATTTAGATTTTGGAAAACTTTGAAAGGTCATAACTTTTTTTCTTTTAAAGATGAAAAGCTGAAATTTTCAGCGATTCTTATCTCAGTAGAGGACTACAATCCCTGAAAATTTCAGCTCATTTGCACTTATAGTTCCAGAGATAAAGTCGTGTTAAGCAATTTGGGGTGATTTATCAATTACTCAATGTTTCTAAGTGCCTTTTTTCATAGATTTCGGGTTCAAATCTGAGAATAATTTAGTTTATGGAGTTTGGGGTATGTTGATTGACCATTAGGATACAAAATCTCGACAAAAAAAAAATTGAAATTTCATCGTTTTAGTAAGAAGGTACCTACCTTATGATTTAGATTTTGGAAAACTTTGAAAGGTCATAACTTTTTTTCTTTTAAAGATGAAAAGCTGAAATTTTCAGCGATTCTTATCTCAGTAGAGGACTACAATCCCTGAAAATTTCAGCTCATTTGCACTTATAGTTCCGGAGATAAAATCGTGTTAAGCAATTTGGGGTGATTTATCAATTACTCAATTTTTCTGAGTGCCTTTTTTCATAGATTTCGGGTTCAAATCTGAGAATAATTTAGTTTATGGAGTTTGGGGTATGTTGATTGACCATTAGGATACAAAATCTCGACAAGAAAAAAAATTGAAATTTCATCGTTTTAGTAAGAAGGTACCTACCTTATGATTTAGATTTTGGAAAACTTTGAAAGGTCATAACTTTTTTTCTTTTAAAGATGAAAAGCTGAAATTTTCAGCGATTCTTATCTCAGTAGAGGACTACAATCCCTGAAAATTTCAGCTCATTTGCACTTATAGTTCCAGAGATAAAGTCGTGTTAAGCAATTTGGGGTGATTTATCAATTACTCAATGTTTCTGAGTGCCTTTTTTCATAGATTTCGGGTTCAAATCTGAGAATAATTTAGTTTATGGAGTTTGGGGTATGTTGATTGACCATTAGGATACAAAATCTCGACAAAAAAAAAATTGAAATTTCATCGTTTTAGTAAGAAGGTACCTACCTTATGATTTAGATTTTGGAAAACTTTGAAAGGTCATAACTTTTTTTCTTTTAAAGATGAAAAGCTGAAATTTTCAGCGATTCTTATCTCAGTAGAGGACTACAATCCCTGAAAATTTCAGCTCATTTGCACTTATAGTTCCAGAGATAAAGTCGTGTTAAGCAATTTGGGGTGATTTATCAATTACTCAATGTTTCTGAGTGCCTTTTTTCATAGATTTCGGGTTCAAATCTGAGAATAATTTAGTTTATGGAGTTTGGGGTATGTTGATTGACCATTAGGATACAAAATCTCGACAAAAAAAAAATTGAAATTTCATCGTTTTAGTAAGAAGGTACCTACCTTATGATTTAGATTTTGGCAAACTTTGAAAGGTCATAACTTTTTTTCTTTTAAAGATGAAAAGCTGAAATTTTCAGCGATTCTTATCTCAGTAGAGGACTACAATCCCTGAAAATTTCAGCTCATTTGCACTTATAGTTCCGGAGATAAAATCGTGTTAAGCAATTTGGGGTGATTTATCAATTACTCAATTTTTCTGAGTGCCTTTTTTCATAGATTTCGGGTTCAAATCTGAGAATAATTTAGTTTATGGAGTTTGGGGTATGTTGATTGACCATTAGGATACAAAATCTCGACAAGAAAAAAAATTGAAATTTCATCGTTTTAGTAAGAAGGTACCTACCTTATGATTTAGATTTTGGAAAACTTTGAAAGGTCATAACTTTTTTTCTTTTAAAGATGAAAAGCTGAAATTTGTAGCGATTCTTATTTCAGTAGAGGACTACAATCCCTGAAAATTTCAGGTCATTTGCACTTATAGTTCCAGAGATAAAATCGTGTTAAGCAATTTGGGGTGATTTATCAATTTCTCAATTTTTCTGAGTGCCTTTTTTCATAGATTTCGGGTTTAAATCTGAGAATAATTTAGTTTATGGAGTTTGGGGTATGTTGATTGACCATTTAGGATACAAAATCTCGACAAAAAAAAAATTGAAATTTCATCGTTTCAGTAAGAAGGTACCTACCTTATGATTTAGATTTTGGAAAACTTTGAAAGGTCATAACTTTTTTTCTTACAGAGATAAATAGCTGAAATTTTCAGCGATTCTTATCTCAGTAGAGGACTAAAATCCCTGAAAATTTCAGCTCATTTGCACTTATAGTTCCTGAGATAAAATCGTGTTAAGCAATTTGGGGTGATTTATCAATTTCTCAATTTTTCTGAGTGCCTTTTTTCATAGATTTCGGGTTCAAATCTGAGAATAATTTAGTTTATGGAGTTTGGGGTATGTTGATTGACCATTAGGATACAAAATCTGGACAAAAAAAAAATTGAAATTTCATCGTTTTAGTAAGAAGGTACCTACCTTATGATTTAGATTTTGGAAAACTTTGAAAGGTCATAACTTTTTTTCTTTTAAAGATGAAAAGCTGAAATTTTCAGCGATTCTTATCTCAGTAGAGGACTACAATCCCTGAAAATTTCAGCTCATTTGCACTTATAGTTCCGGAGATAAAATCGTGTTAAGCAATTTGGGGTGATTTATCAATTACTCAATTTTTCTGAGTGCCTTTTTTCATAGATTTCGGGTTCAAATCTGAGAATAATTTAGTTTATGGAGTTTGGGGTATGTTGATTGACCATTAGGATACAAAATCTCGACAAGAAAAAAAATTGAAATTTCATCGTTTTAGTAAGAAGGTACCTACCTTATGATTTAGATTTTGGAAAACTTTGAAAGGTCATAACTTTTTTTCTTTTAAAGATGAAAAGCTGAAATTTTCAGCGATTCTTATCTCAGTAGAGGACTACAATCCCTGAAAATTTCAGCTCATTTGCACTTATAGTTCCGGAGATAAAATCGTGTTAAGCAATTTGGGGTGATTTATCAATTACTCAATTTTTCTGAGTGCCTTTTTTCATAGATTTCGGGTTCAAATCTGAGAATAATTTAGTTTATGGAGTTTGGGGTATGTTGATTGACCATTAGGATACAAAATCTCGACAAGAAAAAAAATTGAAATTTCATCGTTTTAGTAAGAAGGTACCTACCTTATGATTTAGATTTTGGAAAACTTTGAAAGGTCATAACTTTTTTTCTTTTAAAGATGAAAAGCTGAAATTTGCAG